CGTTACGGGTGTGCGCGGCTTGGCAGTGTGCCGAGATATGGAAGGTGTTCCATACTGCTGCTTCGGGGGACTCGATTGCGGCTTGTTGTCTGAAGGTCGCGAGGGAGCGGGGGTAGGAAATGGAATGGGATCGTGGTGGAATTGAGCATGAAGTTTTGGCCTCGGGGCAATCTGTGGTGCTAGCTGCAATCTTGCCATCTCATCATTCGTGTGTGCTGCTTCCGACTCATCGTAGGACCCAATCGCAACATCAGCATTAACAGATATGTGTTCCAAAGATCCAAAAGAGTGTGGGTGCTGCAAGAGCCATGAGAGCGAGTTGCTGAGATTATTCTTGGTCATAGGTTCCGTCTCATCTTGGTGTATCCCCAGAACGGTTCTGCAGATACTGGATTTTGGTAGCGGATGGCCGTGGTAGATGTTGTTCGCCTGCGCCAGTCGAGCTTGGAGGTTGCCAAAAGTCCCCGCCAAACGACGCGTTGAAGAGACCAGGCTCGCAGGGACGCGCCGTACGCGGTGGAACCGATGACTAAGCCGCCAAGGAACGCGCAGGCATGTGATTCAAGTTTCTCGGTTCGAAAAGTGACTTTCGTAAAATTGAAGGAAAGCGCCAGCTACCACGCGTCGCTTGCAAACCAGCATGGCCAAGGGTAAGAAGGGGAAAACCGCTGAACAAAAAGCCCGCACCGCAGCGAAGCAATCGAAGAAAGCCGCAAAAGGAGAGAAAAAGAAAACTGCTAAAGCAGCGGCTCTGAATGTTGACTCGGATGGCGACGACAACGGTGACCTTGACGCCATCTTAGCTGCCTATGCCGAGGAGCAAGCCAAGTATCTCAAGGTCACAGAGCAGCCCTGTGATCCGCCTGGTCCGAGGTCGTCCAGTACAATAGTTGCCTCGCCATCCAACAGGAACGAGTTGTTCATATTCGGCGGCGAGTATCATGATGGGAGTACTGCCTCATTTTACAATGACCTATTCGTATACCTCATCGATAAAGGTGAGTGGCACCAGATAGTCTCAGGAAACAGTCCTTTACCGCGAAGTGGGCATGCAGCCTGCCGGGGCGGGAATACTGGTGGGATATACGTTTCAGGAGGTGAATTTTCCTCGCCGAAACAAAATCAATTCTACCATTATCACGATTTCTGGCATTTGGACACTGAATCGAGGGAGTGGACCAAACTCGAACCGAGGGCGAAAGGCAAAAGCCCACCGGCTAGAAGCGGACACCGAATGACATACTTCAAGAACTATATTGTTCTCTTCGGCGGCTTTCAGGATACGTCGCAGCAGACGAGGTACTTGAATGACACGTGGATATATGACTGCAAGGAGAATACATGGCATGAAATGAAACTACCGCCAGCAGCCCAGAGACCTGAACCTCGCTCCTCATTCAGCTTTCTGCCCCACGAGTCCGGCGCTGTTTTGTATGGAGGATACTCCCGTATAAAGACGACATCCGCAAGTGCTGGTGGTGGAGGAAAGCAGGTGGGTAAAGGGAACGGGGCTTCGGGCTCAGTGCGCAATATCCTCAAGCCGCTCGTGCACCAAGACACCTGGTTTCTCCGCATCACTCCTCCAGACTCAGAAGCCTCGAGCGGTACCCCTCCATCACTCCGTTGGGAACGGCGGAAGCGGCCGGCCAACGCGCCCAATCCGCCGCGCGCTGGTGTAACGATGTCCTCACACAAAGGACGCGGTGTCATGTTTGGAGGCGTGCACGATGTCGAAGACAGCGAGGAAGGTATCGACAGCGAGTTCTTCAACGAGATGTTCATCTGGAACATTGATCGAAATCGATTTTTTCCGCTTTCGTTGAGACGACCAAAAGCCGGAGGGGCCAAGAAGCAAATCCAAGCCGCAACGCGGGGAGGTCGTGATAGGGGCAAAGCAGATGAGGAAGAACTACTCCGCAACCTCGCAGCTCTCGAGACGAAGGGCTCAATATCGGCCGCCGAGGACATCGACATCAATGTGACGGACCAGGAAGAACCTGAGCCTGAGGTCCCAAAAATGCTATATCCTGTTCGATTCGAAATGCCCCATCCTCGTTTCAACGCGCAGCTTACTGTGCAGGACGACATACTGTACATGTTTGGGGGCACGTTCGAGAAGAAGGACGTGGAGATCACTTTCTCAGACCTCTACGCCGTTGACCTGAGCAAGCTTGACGGCGTGAAAGAGTTGCACTACGTTGAACCCGTCAACTGGAACGTGCCCAGTCAAGAGAGCGATGAAGAGATGGACGAAGACGACGACGAAGGAGAAGAAGAGGACGACGACGACGAAGACATGGACATGGACATGGACGAAGTCGAGAGCAAAGTAGAGGACACCATGTCCATCTTCAGCTCACCCTCAATGTCCACTGCCCCTACAACGCCCCTGTTCCGCGCCACGGAACTCGAAACCGAACCAGAGACCCTCGCCTCGCAGGACTCTCGCCCCTTCCCACGCCCCTTCGAATCGCTCCGAGACTTCTACGCCCGCACCTCGGAAGACTGGCAGCGGATCCTCATCGAGAAACAATCGTACGGCGGCAAGGCTGAGATGGCGGCGTTGGCGGCTGAGCAGACGATCAAGGGGTTGAGGAAGAAGGCCTTTGAGCAGGCCGAGGAGAGGTGGTGGGATTGTCGTGAGGAAGTCGGAAGATTGGAGGATGAGCAAGAAGAGGCGGGGATCGGTGAGATTGTGAGCATGGAGGGACGGGGAGCTGAAGGAGGCGTGGGCAGGAGACGCTAAGAACGAGCATACGCCTCTCAATATAATATCTACGATAAGCACGCGTTGGATAAACCCCCGTTGATGAGAGCGAGGTGTCGATGGAAAACAAATTGATATCTATTCCACTTTTCCTTTCCCCCTTAATCGATCCTTAGCTCGTACAACCATTCCTTGTACCATCCCCCTTACCCTCTTCATGAAGCCCTGTAATTTCCCTTCTCCAACCTCATCAGCACCAACAAACCTCCTCACCAATAAGTTATAGATGCTGCCAAACGCCAACGCCATGACCGTACTTGTCAATATGATCACGTTGTATGGCATTGAAAAGTCCGGCGTCGGCAACGGCAACAGCAAGCTGGTCGTCCGAATATACACATCCCTTGCATTTCCTGTGACCGGATCAGCGAGCTGTGGCGAGAGGATGCGGATGACCGCAGGGGGGATGTTGAATCCACGATTCGCGTCAGGCGGATATTCTGTATAGCGAAGGATGGATTTTTCAAAGGCGTATGTTAGTGAGACAGTGGTGAGGGGCGGGACAGTAAGGAGGAGTTCGAGTTGCGTGCCACGATGTCGGTCGATTGCGGGCCGGTAATACATGTCCATAATTATCTTTTCTCCCTCGAGTCTGGAAGTGTCGAAAGGCGTTGAGGACGAATGGGTGATTTGAGCGTTGAGGGTGTGCATGTACGGGCGCATGAACCAGGGCAGGCTCTCGAAATAGACGAATTGAACGGAGTCGGTCGAGGATGGGTTTGTAAAGATGGTGCGCATGCCTCCGTGTGCTGCGCCGTGGCCGGTCATGGTCCTTTCTGCTCGAAGAAGCTCATGGCCCAGATCGTGTTTTTTGGTAGTAGATTGCTGTCGGGGCACTTCGAGATCGAATTCTTCGAACGGCATTATCGAATAACACCTTGATTCGCTGGGGCCTGGCTCGGATTTGACCTCAAACCCGCTATGGCTGACTAACACCATTCGATCGTGCGGCACGTTCAGGCACACAGGTTTTGAATCAGGACCCTCGTCGTCTGCTAGAGGACATGTCCCAGCCAAAGTCCTTCCAAAGACATCCTTGAGAGACCACGGCATTTCATCCACCATGTCGCGAGGATAACAAGTATCATGCGAATGATAAGGCTTGGACTCATCGCAGACAAGCTGTTCTGGAGGTATCGGTCTGGGGATAGGATTATCTCGCGGCCGCTTGGATCGTTCAATGTCAAGGACAATGTCAATGGTCTGGCTGATCTCCATTTGGCACTCGCCAACCCCAGGAGAGCACTTCGGCCGAACATCAATAGCCATGCTCTGCCATGAAGCGTCGAAAACCTTATGTCCATCCAGAAGGCTTGATATCCCCGCCTTGCCTTTGCACGGCAGGAGTTTCAGGAAGGGGGTCAAATTCTCTGTGCACACTACTTCTCCCGGAAGTACCCCATGCAAGAAATGAAGATTCTGGCTGATGGTCTGGAATCTCCCTGAAGGCTGGAAGGACAAGGCAGGTTTAGTGGTCCTTGTTGAATCGATGAAATTCAACGAGGCGCAGAACAAGCCAGAGAGTGATTGTGTCAAGGTTGTCCACTTTGCAAACGCTTCTTCTTCCGAGTCTGCCTCTATCCATGCCCATAACTCCACTCCGGTGCCACCCTCTTTTGTGCCGTCCCATGGACGCGCTCCCCAAGTCTCTGCGTCCCATCGTCCTGTGGTAAACCTCAGATGTAGTTCTTGCGTGTCTGCATGCCTCAACGCTTGGCCTAGAGAGCGGGGGAAGTATCTGAAATTCTGGGCTTCATAGTCCGCGGCACTTTCATTGCTGCGGAAGTCGAACGAGGCAAGAAGGGAACCGAGGGGTAAAGGGGTCAGAGTCAATCGCTCGTAGTAATCTGAGGCGGTAACGCTCAAGGCCAGAAGCGCAGAGATGAGGAGAAGAAACAGAGACCGGGACATGCCGGCATCGCTATAAGCAATATGTCATTCCGTTTGTGCTGAGATACATTGACGACAAGTCAAGCGCAAGAGAGGACACTGATTCGTGAATCCGTGTGGAAAGTGGTTGCGAGAATTCTACCGCAGTTCAGCCGATTCCTCCACCACTTCTTTCTCTCCATTTGCGGACTTGGAATTCGCGAGCAAGCACTTGCTACAGAACACGACCGGATGACCAGACGACCAGACGACCAGACGAATACGATTCTATCCCACGAAACTCCAAGCGTGTAAAAACCAGGAAAATTTAGAGAGTCCCTCCAAATCCCGGATCTCCCTCACCATGGCCGCTGAGCAGCGCAAGCTGCTTGAGCAGCTCATGGGCGACCAGTTCATGGGAATGGGCTCTTCCTCCTCCAAATCCGCAAACCTCACTCTCAATTCGCCCAATGTTTGCCGTTCATACCTGGTTGGAACATGCCCTCACGACCTCTTCACAAACACAAAGCAAGACCTAGGTCCTTGCCCCAAGGCCCACCCGGAGAACCTGAAGATGGAATACGACGCCCTCCCCCAGGCAGAGAAACAAAAATACGGATTCGAATACGACTATATGCGAGATATGCAGAAATACATTGACGATTGCAATAGAAGGATCGACCAAGCGCAACGGCGGTTAGAGAAGACGCCAGATGAAATACGCCAGACAAATAATCTGCTCAAACTCATATCGGATCTCACCAAGACGATAAACACAGGCCTCCTCGAAGTCAATTGCCTCGCTGAAATGGGCTCGGTGAGTCTGGCCTGCACCGAATTCCACAAAGTTCGGACCGCCAAAATAGCAAAAGAACAAGCCGAGCGGGATCTGAAGTCGTTATCAGACACGTCAGGCCCATCGGGGCACCAGAAACTACAAGTCTGCGACGTCTGCGGCGCATATTTGTCCAGACTGGACAATGACAGGCGACTGGCTGACCATTTCTATGGAAAAATGCACCTAGGTTACGCGCAGATGAGGCGGACGCACGAGACGTTACAGAAAGAACTCAAAGGACGAGGACCACCGCCTGTGAGAACGCAGGAAGAGAATGCGAGCGGCAGTCCCACTGGGCCAAGAGGTTATGATGATGGCGGATATGGGGACGGTGGTGGATGGGGCAGAGGTGGAGGAGGATATGGTCGAGGAGGAGGAGGGGGCGGCGGCTACGGGAGGGGCGGCGGAGCATATCGCGGACGAGGGAGGGGCCGGTGGTAGAAACACCGCTCCTCTCCTCCTCCCGTCGACGACGTGCCTTCTGGATTCGTGGTCATGAAACATCATTGCGACGCATAGCGGAATGGGAACCTTGGGATTGGAGATCGAGGCGGCAAAAACATGGTCTCGGCGGGGGTTAGGAATCATAGCTAGCTTATCACTTTGCTCTCTGTCCACCCGATACCACCGCATAATCTGTTTGCGTTGGGAAAGTAGCGGGGCAAGGGAGCAGGACAAGTCAGGACGAGACGAGAGGAAACAAGGGGAAACGCTTCACCACAAAAGAGCACCGAGATACCCCTGAAATGCATTGTGTAATAGTACAACAGTTACGAGGTATCGGGGACACGCTTTGGGATACGCGATGGACCGTATATTGCGATGCGCGACATGTTCCTCGACATTCTTAGAAATCTGACACTTCGTCTCCAAAGCACCGAGTCGAGGTACATTGCGTTCATTAATCTCCAACCAGCAACTACTAAAAGAAAAAGAAAGAGAACTGAAGATACCCAATACGCTGCCCTGGCTTATGGGATAGGTGTGTATACACGATATATGGCAAACATAGTAGTAGTGTGTGCTGTGGAGTGTAGTATGTAGTATGACAACCGACAACTGTACAACGGGACAGAGGCGACGGGCAACCCTCTGCTATCCTACCAGAAGTTCCGCGGCTTGTTCTCGTTTTCCGCATTGAGCTCGCTGGATTCCACTTGCTCGGCCCAGGTTCCTCCACCACCACTACCTCCTCCTCCTCCTCCTCCTCCTCCTCCGGCCAGGCCCGAGCCCGAGTCTGAGCCCGAGCCTGAGGCTTGTCCACCTGCCGAGTCCCAGCGCCTCGTACTCGGTTTGGGGGCGGTGGGATTTGGGGTCGTATTCATGTCCACACCGGGCTCTTTTTTCACAGAAGTATTGGAGCCAGGCAGAGAAGGGAAGTCGGATTCTACAGACCAGTCTGGCTGCAGCTGGTGAGCGTGGCCGTCGCCGTTATGGCCAAACCCGCTTCTTCTGGGACCGCCTCGACCTCTACCCCTTCCAGCACCGCCTCTGCCGCCTCTTCCCCTCCCTCGCCCCCGTCCCCGGTCCTCATGCCACTCATACATCTTCAGATCATCCTCTTCTCCTGGAGGGGGACCAGAATACCCTCTCCTCCCTCCTCTCCCATTGACCTGTTGCTCGTCCTTGTCCCGATCCCACTCCCGCCCTAATTGTCCTGCCATCTTCCTAAGCCGGTTCCTCTCCCTCTCCCCCTCCATGACTCTCCTGTCTTTTATATCCCTCTCCCTCCTCTCCCTCGCTTGTCTTTCTCGCTCTTCAAAGTTTGCGGCGTCCGCTTGGGCCCTCGCGTGGGCGGCAGCAAGCGACTGCGACCGTTCCTTTGCAGCGGCAAGTTTGGCCGTGAGTTCTTCGTCCGAGAGTTTGGGAGGGCGGATCCCGCCCGTAGAGAGACGGTCCCCGCGCACAGCGGGGGTACGGATAGCAGTGTTTGACGGGCCAGTGGGTATGCTGCTAGGAGCGACGGTGCTCGCTGATGTTGTTGAGTCTTCACCATGCGGCTGAGGTATTGGCTCAGAGGGTATGGTGCTTGTTTCCGAAATTTGTTGACCTCGTGACGCGGGTGGCCGCGTAGACTTCGAATCTCTGCCAGGCGGGCCAGCGTCTGCGCCTTTCACCGCCCACTTCGAGTCTTCCAGCCCAGTAGCAATCTTTCTACCCGCTTCTCCTTGCCCAGTTCCATGGACACCTCTGCCTCTCTGTCTCGATTTGGAGCCCGGGAGCGGGTGCTCGGTCGGGGTCGCTGGTTTCACTGGCGAGGGCTCAGACGCCGGTGAAGATTCAGCCCCGACAGGAGGATCGGGAATGGGAGTGGAAGCGGAGGAGGGTTCTAGCGAGACTTGCTCGAGCCGAGCTGTGACTTTCTCTGGAGAGGGCGGATTGTCAAAGGGGATGATTTCGTCGTCGAAGAGGTCGTCGTCCCCGCGGGACTGGGAGAAGTCTTCCATGGCTGACAATGAGCCGCAGGGCCAGAAAAGCAAGAGCGAGAATCAGTATATAAGAAATCGCTAATAGCAATAGTCCTTCGTCTCCAAGTATAATCTATAAAATCATCAGGAAAAGGCCTTCGAGACCAAATTGCATGCAAGTTATCAAATCGATCAACTACGAAAGAAAAAAAGTCCGGAAACTCAATTCTGGGCTACTCCGCATTTTCCGCTAAATAAAATACTGGGGAAATTGCCGAGCTCGCAAGGCTCGAGGACTCGAGGCTGAACAGATTCAGGAGAGTGAGCAGCGACGATGATGAAGGCTTTCAGCAGTTTAAGATTTTTCAATTCTATTGATCAATAACTTTGGCCCGCATGTTTCTAAATATTCACTTTTTTGGAGCCCGTACCCCATTGCATAATTGACCCGATCCTTCAACCCTAGCAGTCTATAACGATGATCAAAACGGTGGCAGCCAAAACGGATAGCCCCCATTCTTGACCCGAAAGACGCTCATCAAGAAGCTGTACATCCCGAAAATAACCGCTGCCCAAATTATGACTGCTGCTTGCTGGGTTTTGGGATCCTTAATCCGCGGCACTCGCAGAGCAAGATTGATCGTTGCGAAGGCAAGAAGCGCATCTGATGTTTGAGAAATATTAGCAAAGTTCCGTGTTGAAATCCACCTTCTTGACCGCGTGGGATCGGACGGCAGCTTACACATTGCAGCGACAATCTGTGTCTCCATCCCGTACTGATTCTGAAATCCACCTGCAAAGTAACTTATTCCACCACGCCCATTTCCAGCAACGTAGGGTACCCTGCGGATATGATTGAACATGTGTCCGCTGGTAAAGAGCAGGATCATGATCAAACTGATTCCGGCCCACAAATTGCGGTTCTGAATAATCGGCATCAGGTAGGGGTATGCCACTGTGATAAACGTAAACAGCCCCAAGGCTACGGTCAGAGAGGCGCCGATTCTTGCGTAATTGATGGGTCGGACGATTGGAGGATAGTCGCCGGCTGGGAGGTGTCGCAGGAGCCAGCTGTAGACGCCTTCTGCCGTTTGCGGACCGAGAAAATCGAGTCGGAGAGGTGAGCCATCGGGTTTGGCATGCTCACCCACCGTGGGAGGGAAGAAGAGGAGGACAGGAGCGGTTTGGAGTTGGAGCTGTATGAGACGTCTGGTCAGTGACGAGCTCTCATCATCAGAGACGTACTGCTATCAACAGACCTTCATGAAAACATTCCTGCCCTGATCAAAATCGATCGTGCTCAGAAGCAACCTCTTGTCCCCATTTCGATCTCCCTTTTGCCAGCTTCTCCCCAAAATGCTCCATTCCGGATCGAAATCTCGACAAATTCCACATGCATATTTTGCGTCTCGAGCGGTCAGGAGGACAGCGAGTGAATAGTCCCGCGGTGAGGCCGTCAGCTCATTGTAGCTTTTCTCGTCGAGTTCGAAAGGTGCGGATGAGACTTGTTTGGCGAAGTACGTGTCGAATTTGCTTGTCGTGGCAGCCTTCTTGGCGGAAACAGCAGCGGTCAGGGAAAGCGCTGTCAGCGCAAGCAGTCTGAAGATATGCATGGCTTTGCCCGTGCAGGATGATCAGGTCTCGATACAGAGAGTTGATAGTCTACAGACTGCGACAAGGTGTTCAATGGACCTGTTCGGCAAAGTTGCATCTTTGAGGGTCATCATCAGGCTGACTGCTCAGTCAGCAAAAGCGAGATACTTCCACTTCCCTCTTAAGTTGGAACTCAGCGCCACTCCGAATTTTTAGGCTCAAAAGTGATTTCGTGCTTCTCGCCAGAGAGAAAAGAGAGGATACGCCCAAGACGGAATTTCACTTAGATATTTTTTTCGTTGGTTAATTTGCAGCCTTGCCCAGGTTGCCTCCTACTCGGCTCGACCCAGGACCCCTTTATCCGACACCCCAACCTCAGCAATAGCCGCAGCCTTCAGTTTCTCAGTCTCTTGGAACCAAGACCTTTGCGCTTGTGGAGCGGAGGAGTCGAAGAGGAACGCGTTCAGAATCTGGACAGTATCGTCCCACGTGAGAAGTCTCATATCATGGACCTGACGGGCAAACTGCTCATGGAACCAGCCATCAAACAAGTCGCTGCTCAAAGCAGGCTGCTGCTCGCGTCCTTCATATCTAGCACCGACGTAGAAGGCCCAGAGCCTCGCATTCTTCCATTTCTTCCACGCAGGACTGTCTCTAGCCCGCTCGCTCTTTTCAAGCAGAGGTCGCAATGTTTCCAGTACGTTTCCTGCCCAAATATTCTTGCCGCAGATGTGGTTCTGGTGCAGAGCTCTTGAACACTTGACGGCACTAAGGGCCATGTACTGCTGAGCATAGTTATAGTCAAGTTCCGGCCCCGAGGCGAATTCCGAGAGCTCCTTAAATCTGCAGTAGCGGCTCACCAGCCTCCCCAGAGCAATGCACCATCTATATTGACCCCAGCCAACGTGCATCGAGGCCGATTTGGCAGGGAGGCCGTCAGACCATCTCCGTCGCCATCGTGTAAAAATCTCGCGACAGTCCTTGATGCAGGTCGACATCTCTTCCGAGTCAATTGTCGGATCGAGATGGCAGAAATCCAGCGGCGCGGGGACCAGGATAGGCTCAATAGCCCGCAGGAAGGGCTGGAAGGTCTTCGGCAGCCACTCGTAAACGTCAAAAGCGGGACGAACCAAGAGCTGTCAGGCCATGTTCATGTCTGCATACAGGAAGAAAAACAAAAGCTCGATCATGGTCAATCCTATCTCGTCGAACGTGTCGAAAAGGCCTCCGCCCTTCTCGAAGTGTTCGCCGACCAACTTGCTAAGCATGTGACCATGCATCTGTGCCGCTGCCACGTTCTCTGCGGCAATCTCAGCAGCCCAGATCATGAAGATATGCCATCATGTCCATGCATCGATTTTGGAAAGGCGGGCCAGTTTCTGCCGCAGAGCAGCGGTGCTTTTGGTACGACAGATCAACGATTTCTTTTTCAGGGACTGTCCCCGAGGAGTGTCGGATCCTGTACATATTGCGACGAGGTAAGCGTTGCTACCAATGAAAGCCAGAGCGGTGCCTTCATCCCGTAGCCCGGCAGAGCAGACACCCCAGTCTACTTTGGCGCGAGCACTTGCCAGACTATTCTTCGACTTGGGATCAAGCCGATACGCTCCAGGCACAAGGATATCTCGGTAGAAAGCCACGATGCTGTTCTCTTCTCCGGTAATGGGGATTGCGCCGGCTCCGAACGGGTCGGAGTTGCCTTTGTTGAGAATCATGATGGGAGATAAGACCTGGCCCCGTCGTCGAGCTTGCATAAGCATGAGACGTCTACCCTCGTCATTGCTGTCTGTAGTCTGCTCGGTTCTTGGTATGCCTTCAACCAAGGCGTCATTATGAGGCGGGCCAGTGCGGTACTTTCCCAACATCAGCCATCCTGGAAATAAGACAGAATCTATACTCACCGATGCGTCCTTCTGTTTGGGCCTTCCTGGGATCTTGGCAGAGGCACGCAAGGCCCTGGCTCTCTCCTGTCGCTCCCAGCTGCGATAGTTGTTCTGGATGTGTGAGAAGACGCGGCGTCGGTGTGGCAATGTCTTCATATTTTGGGCGTCGTAGTTGACCCACAAGATGGCTGGAGCTGTCATTGCGCCGCGAACACAGGTTCTGTATATAATGCTGGGTGAGATCTGATGCCAGCAATGGCTAGATCGAGTCAAAGACCAGAGTTTCCAGCGGAGAAAGGTCGCCTTCGGTGATAGAAGCGGGCATATCACTAGGCATTAAAGAACCCGCTTTATGTAAATACATACATACAACACTCCAGGGCCCTACTAGGTAGTTCTTCTTACTTTTCCGGGAAACTCCGCAGTGTTCCATTATTCCAGCAGCGACAAGATGGATTCACGCAGGATGACCGGCCGTGCATCTGCGAGGTTGTTGGCGCGGAGGCAAAACTGTACATCTGAATGGCCAGGCGGAGGGAAGGAATATGGCCGCTGCCGTTTCACAACTCGCTTAGCGAGGGACTGATGGTGCCGTCGAGCCGTTTGATTACTCAAGCTCTTACTCAAGTTGACCTTTTGCATCAGCCGTGGTCAATAGTCGACCTGGATTCTAGCGTCTGACGTTCTAGCGAGTTACCGGTCGACACAAGGTACGAAGTAAAGAGAAATTGTCGATCATCAGTGCCGGAGGGCGCCAACAAGGGGACAGACGTCGTGGATATATACTCGTCTGCCGAGCAGCTTCAACGTCATATTCAAGCATACACGATGTTGTCTGCTCAATACCTTGTCTTCAAACGCCTGTCTCTCATATAGTAGTCCTCCCTTACACTGCCTCGCCCGCCGCCCGCCTGATCGACCGCGCCATCTCTCTCGGCATGCTCATAAACGGTGAGTGACTGGCATCCATCGTCTCAACCCTCATCTGCGCCCCCGCCTTTTGAGCTCCCTCGACCATTCCTCTCTGCGCGTGGGGCGGGATCGCTTCGTCCTTCTCACACAGCAGATACGTGCTCGGTACGTACTTCCAGCCTGGGTCCGTGACTTTGGAAAAGAAGGCGCGGTAACTGTGCGGCTTCAGCATGGCCACGTATCTCTCCGGACTGTCGACGTCGTTGTAGAACGTCTCAATCGGCGTCGCGGGGCTGACGAGGTCTTCGGTATCGTTGATCTGGAACCAGGGCAATGGAGTCTGGTCCAAGGCGTCCATCAGGGATACACCCTCGGGAAGGGCGAATGCGCAGCAGAAGTAGATGTGCGACACCCCTCCCTTCTTGCCCTGCCTTTCGCGCGAGGCCTTGTCCAGACCTTTCACGGCTTCATTCCCGACTATACCGCCATAGGAATGCACGACAAGCAGGACATCCTTTTCCTGTTCTTCGATGAATGGTCTCATGGCTTGTTGAATGGCCTCGACGTCCGGTTGGAAGTCCCTGAGCGGTTCGGGTGAGCCAACCGAGGCGAGTTTGACACCTTTGGTCTCGTACCCGGCTGCCTCGAGCTCATCGACCACGAGATGGAATGTCTCGGGAACGTGCCACGCCCCGGGGACGAAAACGATAACGGGTTTGGACGACATTTTTCTGGCCCTTGAGGATTTCCTCTGCTGGTCCGGATAAATCGGAATAGTCTTTTGATCGCGAGAAAGGTGACTGATATGAATACGTGAGATGGCAAGTTTGCTTATCTCCACGAATCCAGCGATGGAGTGGATGTTTGTATATGTATATATAAGCTCTCCGTTTCAAGTCGTCATCCAGACATCTCTCAACCGAGAACTCGTATATGAGGCTCGCATTAGCTCACCCCCGCACTTCAGCCCCGAGAAAAGAAACTTCAAGAGTATGATGGGGCACAATGTTACAGTAGACTTGGCCTGAACAAGAACCAATAAAGCTGATATGGATACCCAAGGTAATATCTGGGCGTCCAGCCTGACAGAGACTAGGCCGAGGGGCCAAACATGACAGCCAGTCGGACCAGGGAATTATGCTTTCCACAAAAGATGCTGACTGTTGCCAACAAAGAGTAGCTAGCTTAGCGCAGCGGGGGAATATATATGCACAAGTCTCAACATATTCTCGAATCGGGCTATGAATTTTGCGTGGTTCTTTGTATCGGATTCTCCGCGGGTCTTCCGCCACGGTCCAAACATACAGTATGCTCGATGGGTATGGAAATGTGACAGGGAGCAATAGCGCCCTCTCCACTCCAAATGACTGCTTATTTAACTGACACGAGCTTCGTCGACAAGGGCAAGTGGCCCAACTAGTAGGAACATGAGGCCTGAGATATTTATCTTGCGTCCTTACATATGCTCCACTTCCATAGGTATGCTAGGATCGCCGGTGGCGTTCTTCTAATCACTCCTGTTGCCGAGGCTGCAAATAGACAGAATCAGGTCGACCTTCGAAATAATGAGTGACTTTTGGCATGTCTTGAGCGAGGAACAACAAAGAATTAACGTCTGGAGTTCCCGTTACTTGAATCCGGTGGCTCTTCCTTTCCAGAGCGTCTCTACCAGGGCGGGGGGAAGGAAGGGAATGGAAAGTTAGCGATTCGATTGATCAATTCCAACAGACATGGACTCTCGATACCTTGAATTGGATCGGCCAGAACGCACTATCCAGGGCAGACGTGCAAAGCGGGCTGATATGAACATCAAGGTTCGCCAAGTTGGCCCCGCGGACACCGTCTTGCGATGCCATCGTGCTCATGAGTCCGTCTCTAACTCTTCCACAGAGCGGAAGAGAAAATAAGTGGAAAATGTGAATTCCCGCTGTACAGCATATCTCCAGCCCAGTGCCCAACGAGGCCATTCACCACACTCACTTCTTCACAACGGCGATATACGCCACGGAGTAGAGGCCACCAGCTCCCCCTCCTTCGGGATCCCTCTTCCGCGCGATTCTCAACATCTCCTGTCCTAACTTACCCTTTTCCTCTTCGCTCCATCCCTCCACAGCCGCTGGGTAAGACCTCGCCACCATCTCGGGATCTCGAAGGAACGGCGCTACCACCGAATCCGTCCTTTTCTCCACGATCCTCACATTCTCGGCCTTGAATCCCGCATTGACAAGAACGTTTCGCAAGGTTTCCTCTTTAGACCAGAGCTCCGCCCACGGGCTGTGCAAGCTCTTCAAATCGGGCCTTATGGTTTTCTGCGCGATGGCGACTGTATCCATCATCCTTCTTTCCTTCCATGCCGTGACGACAGCGGTACCGCCGACTTTCAACGTGCGGTAGATCTGATCCGCCCCTTTCTGCGGATCAGGGAGGAAAAAGATGCCAAAATTGGTGATGCTCAGATGAAAGGAGCCATCTGGGAATGTGAGGTCCTGGCTGTCCATGACGGAGATGTCAACGTTCTTCCATCCTTGCTGGGTGGCCTTATTCTGCATGAGTTTAGTGACAGACGGCACGAAGTCTGTCGCATGTATCATTTTTGGGTAAGTTCCTGTCTCGGAGGAAACATGCTGGAGGTATTCAGTCACCAGACCTGTGCCGCATGCATTGTCGTGGATTGTCATATCTGAGCGAGGGGTTTCAATGAGTGTCTGTAAGGTGTAGCGCGCAATGTCGCCCGTCATAAGGCCGATCAGATCGTCATATTTGGAAGAGAGTCGGTCGAAGTGACCTGAAGGGTTGAAATCGGCGATATCTGTCTTGTCCATGTCCGACTCGTTATTGCGCCCCCAAGTCCTGAGCTGGCACAATTTGGAGAAATCAGATTCAATCGATGTGAAAGTTGCAACCCAGTGGTTTTTCCGATCTTAATCCAACGCGAGGGTGTTCCGGCAATGAGCTCCTCTGAGGAACTGTGCCTGTCTGCGACAACGAAGTACCTGGATATTCGTCGCAAATATCGAAGCTCTTTGGGGATGGCTTTCGGTTTCGGTGATGTCCTTGACCACTATATAAACCTTCGGCTTGCGGATGTCGTGTCATCTTACCCCACCCTCGAGGCTGTTGGGCTGCTTTCTCCATCCAAGCGAACAAAGACCGAGAGACGCCATGATGAACTGAAGCCGTGCTTGCACATTCTAGAAATACATGAAGGCACCTAGGGAAAGGAACGCGGCAGGTATAAAATATGGGAAAAACTTGGATGATTGCTAAGATCGTATCAATTCCCATGGCTGGTAAAGGCCGAGGGGAGATCGGTCCAGCATCGACCATTTCTCCCCCACAGGCTCGACGGTCGTTGCAGACGTGCCCTGCACATGCTGTATTTCAACCTCGATCTGAAGAAGCACTGCTCCATACCCTGCAAGTGATTCTTTCTCCCATGCTTTGTCTTGGATTCGACTGCTGTTCAATGAAGCCTCGTCACGAATATATCCTGGGGCCGTCAAAGCTGGTGAACCGAACCTGGGAGGCGAAGCTGCCATAGCCAGCACAGCACAACTTGCCTTATATCAACTTGCCTTCGAATTTTCTCAATTCTGTAACCAATGACAAAGATGGCAGGTGAGTGAAATGCCTCCAAGGCGAAAGCCACCATTAAAAACGGAAAATCCTCCTTTGTTACGCCAGGATCATGAGCAGAAAGGGAACACTTTTCGCAAGACTTGTGCAAGGATTGATCTATGGCGGGCATTCATTCGAATCGTCCTAGGCCCAGTCCTAAAAGTGTACATATTTGTACAAGCCAGCCATCGAGGGTGAGTAATGTATGTATCGCGTCGCCATTCAAGGATCGACGCAATAAGCAAAGTCAGTCATAGTACCGGGAAATCAACATTCGTCCGTAGCTAGAAAGTTCCCCATGATAATAGAATCCCAGTCCGCGTTCGTTCTCCCTGACCTGGTTCAAACATGTGTCCTTCCTGGACTGAAACTAACAACTTCAAGCCTCCTCAAGAGGGTACCCCCGAAACGATCCATCCGGCGCTCAATCGAGCCCTGCCATACGATATCCCAGCCAGATATCTGTGCCATCTGTCGTATCTGTCCAACAACAGCAACAACAACGACAAATACTCCGTAACTTTTGTCTCCAAAAAGAATCCCCGAAAAGGTCCAAGTCCAGGTTAAACTCCAGGAGGACCTGCATGCCAAAATGATTCCCGCCTTGCGTATCGACATTAGTACCCCTTGCTTAAGAGGGATATATTAGAAATTTCCCGCAACGTTCCCAG